GACTAAACAATAATCATTGTGTGTAGAGTTTTACCTGTGTTTCACCAGACTATATAGAACAACAGTTCAACATCAATAAGAGGAAGAGGCCTATCCTAATTGACTGGCTAACTCGCTAATGATCAAATATTATGAAAAACCTGAATACAAATATAATAAATCCAACAACACCCATCACATACAAGAACCAAAAATCATCCCTTGAACTACTGAGATACATTACTTGCAACTAAAAATTCATTGATGAAGCCATACGCCGATGGTTGTGCAATGCCAATGCGCAAAAGCTGAGGGCATAATGATGAGAGCCAAGGTGGGCCTACTCTTAAAGATCTTTGGCATGTCCAGATGGGTCAATTACAAGATCAAGAGCCAAGAAGATCAAAGAAGCAATGCAAGGATTGGTGGGATGAAGCTAGCAAGAGCCCAACACTCAAGATGGGCTTGAAAGAAGGAGAACCAATTTTGATCCACTTGATCCAAGATATGGAAGACGTGAAGACATGACTTAGAGATAAGGGTTTTTGTTGTTAAGGCTTTCAATTTGTTTAAAGAATTTTTACTATTAGTTTAGAATAAGTGGGTTTGAGGTTGCTTAGCCCATACATGTTTTATTTCTTAAGAACTAGGGTTTTTGTAGTTACTGTAGCGGCGCACTATTCATGCTACAGTAACCATGCACTATTCACTCTTTTTAAGGTCTAATTGTAAAGCTTGTATACTGTAACGCCTCAAAAACCCCCGTGGGTGACATTACATTCTAAAAATCATTTACCGTATGAGAGCCTTAAGTAAAATTCATCACGACGAAAGTTTCATTCATCAACCATTCATATTTTAACAAAATTTGGGCAGAGTCTCCTTTGTATGGGGAGCTCTACCCAAAATACAACCTGTACAATTATATTACAATTGACTACACCGGGTCCACATATGCATAACTATTGACCACACCGGGTCCATTTTTCCATCATAAAATAAACTTGCATTCATCATATGTCATATCCACACTATCATCCCAAATTAATAGGTCTAATCTTGGCCTTTACATCTCCAAAATGTAATAATATAACGCAGCGGAAATAACAGAAATGAACTAGAGTTCAAAAGGATATTCTAAGCATAATCTAGTCTAGAACAAAATAAAAGTGTCGCTCTAAGCGTCCACCTCGGGATCCACATCCCCGTCAAGCGGAGTCTTCCAATGGGTGGGCTCCTCGGCTCCTAACTCCTCCTCAAGTGTGAAATCTGAAAAAATTTTATTTGTAGGGGGTGAGCACGAAGCTCTGTAGCAAAATCCTCTCAACTCAAACAAGGTTTGAAAAACATAGCAAACGGTCGGTCTCATTTCACAACTAACATATATATAGGTTTGGAATGAAAACAGTGACATTTTAAAAGAGATCTCAAGTTTAAACAATA